TGCCAGGTGTTATTCCCGTAGCTTCCGGGGGTATTCATGTTTGGCATATGCCTGCCCTAACCGAAATCTTTGGAGATGATTCCGTACTACAGTTCGGTGGAGGAACTTTAGGACACCCTTGGGGAAATGCACCTGGTGCGGTAGCTAATCGGGTAGCTTTAGAAGCGTGTGTACAAGCTCGTAATGAAGGACGTGATCTTGCTCGTGAAGGTAATGAAATTATCCGCGAAGCTTGCAAATGGAGCCCTGAACTAGCCGCTGCTTGTGAAGTATGGAAAGAGATCAAATTCGAATTCGAACCAGTAGATAAGATAGATAAACAGAAAGTATAAGAACTAAAGCGCGCATAATTCAGTAATTTCTGTTTGTTCTCCTAATTGATTGCAATTAAACTCGGCTCAATCCCTTTTTAGGAAAAGGATTGGGCCGAATAAAGATAAAGAATGAGCATCCTATACTATGCATTTGCATAGATCTTTCATACGTATGGATCTTACCTATGTATATATACAAGATCAAAATACAAGATCAAATTGAAGACTAACCAACTCAATACTTCTGTTGGTTATTTTGAGTATTGGATTCATAAGATTAATTATGGATCCTTGGGGGTGGTGGATCATTTTTTATCCTGCAGTTTCAGGCCATAGATCAAGCCAAGGGGGGCTCCTTCTACCCACCCTGTATATTGTCTTTTTCGTTTCATGTTGCAATAGAAACTTTTTATTTGATTATACGAGAATGAATTCTTCATTTATTTATAATATAGGAAGAAACAACTATTTCTCTTTCGATAAGAATTTTTTTTGTACATGACATGAGAGAAACCTGTCTTTATATTTCTAATTTAGGAAAAGATTCCATCAATATATATATTTCTATCATAATACATATATATTGAAACGATACCCCGGATTCCCCCCAAAGAGAATCATTTCTTTCAATACTCACTCGTTGTTAGTTAACAATTCCAACGATTGGATCATATGCTTAATTCTAATAGGAAATAAAATAGGAAAATGATTATTCATCGGATTATTCATCGAATGACTATTCATCTATTATATTTTCATCAAATAGGGGACGGGAAGACTCTATGAAAAAATGGTGGTTCAATTCGATGTTGTCTAAGGGGAAGTTAGAACATAAGTGTGGGCTAAGTAAATCAATAAATAGTCTTAATGCTCTTGGACATACCGGGGGAAGTGAAGAGCCCATTCTAAATGATACGGAGAAAAACATTCCTAGTTGGAATGATAGTGGTAGTTATAGTTTCAGTAATGTTGATTATTTATTTGATATCAGGAATATTTGGAGTTTGATCTCTGATAACACTTTTTTAGTTAGGGATGGTAATGGTGACTGTTATTCTGTATATTTTGACATTGAAAATTGTATTTTTGAGATTGACAATAATCGTTTTTTTCCGAGTGAACTAGAAAGCTTTTTTTCCAGTTATTTGAATAATAGGACTAAGAGTAACAATCACTACTATTATCATTACATGTATGATACTCAATCTAGTTGGAATAATCACATTAATAGTTGCATTGATAGTTATCTTCGTTTTGAAGTCAGTATTCATAGTTCCATTTTCGATGGTACCGAAAATGACAGTGACAGTTACATTTCTAGTTTCATTTGTACTGAAGGCGTAAGCAGTAGTGAAAGGGGGAATTCTAGTATAAGAACTGGTGGTAACAGCCGCGATTTCAATATAAGAGGAAGATCTAATGGTTTTGATATAAATAATAAAAAATACAGAAGTTTATGGGTTCAATGCGAAAATTGTTATGGATTAAATTATAAAAAATTTTTTAGGTCGAAAATGAATATTTGCGAACAGTGTGGATATCATTTGAAAATGAGTAGTTCAGATAGAATCGAACTTTTGATTGATCCGGGCACTTGGGATCCTATGGATGAAGATATGGTCTCCACGGACCCCATTGAATTTCATTCAGAAGAGGAACCTTATAGAGATCGTATCGATTCTTATCAAAGAAGGACAGGTTTAACTGAAGCTGTTCAAACGGGCATAGGTCAACTAAACGGTATTCCCACAGCAATTGGGGTTATGGATTTTCAGTTTTTGGGGGGTAGTATGGGATCCGTAGTAGGCGAGAAAATCACTCGTTTGATCGAGTATGCTACTAATAGATCTTTACCTGTCATTATTGTGTGTGCTTCTGGAGGAGCACGCATGCAAGAAGGAAGTTTAAGCTTGATGCAAATGGCTAAAATATCTTCTGCTTCATATAATTATCAATCAAATAAAAAGTTATTCTATGTATCAATCCTTACATCTCCTACAACTGGTGGAGTAACTGCCAGTTTTGGTATGCTGGGGGATGTCATTATTGCTGAACCCAATGCCTACATTGCTTTTGCGGGTAAAAGAGTAATTGAACAAACATTGAATAAAGCAGTACCCGACGGTTCACAAGCGGCTGAGTATTTATTCCATAAGGGCTTATTCGACCCAATCGTACCGCGTAATCTTTTAAAAGGCGTCCTGAGTGAGTTATTTCAGCTCCACGGTTTCTTTCCTTGGAAAAAAAAATATCGAAATAAAATGAAAATATAGATATAGAATAGAAGTGATTTCTATGTCTACCAAGAACTCCCATTTTTTACTAGGAATACCCCCGTTTCTTGGATTGAATTAGTTTAGTTAGAATCGCAAACTTATAATAAACTCTTTAATTTGAATAAAAAACTCCTTATTTTATTAGAAAGATAGATAGAATATAAGGATGGGAGAATTCATAAAATTTCTTAAACTTAAGGTATCATACATATTCGTATAGAAAGATGAATAGGTACACTTCATTTAGTTTTCATTCCTTGCATTTATTAACTACTTAATATTATTTATAATAGTTTATAATAGATATACTTAAGAATAGTTTATAATAGATATACTTAAGATATCTTTATAATAGGTACAAATATGAAATCGAGGTACCCATTCTATGACAGATCTTAACTTACCCTCTATTTTTGTCCCTTTAGTGGGCCTAGTATTTCCGGCGATTGCAATGGCTTCTTTATTTCTTCATGTTCAAAAAAATAAGATTGTCTAGATCCGATGGGACCCAATTTCAGCAATTTATTTCAACACGGAATCATAATACAGATATTTATTTGGTAAAGATATTTTTTTAGTGTAATATGGTATGATATGCGCCCTTTTCCGAATACAAATGAAAGAATTATTATGCATGCGGATACATGATATCCGCATAAATACATGTATATGCGGGTTATCTGGTTAAAAATGATCGGCGAATATTTTTCTATTTGATAATGGAAAGTCAATGTATCTAACCAATTCCTCCTAATGGTTCATATCGGAATAGTGCTAGTTGATGAAAGTTATTTCGGCAAAAAGTAAAGTCAAAATTTTTTCTCAATTCCAATCGAATGCAATCGGATCTAGTATAGTATGAACTGGCGATCAGAACATATATGGATAGAACTTATAACAGGGTCCCGAAAAGCAAGTAATTTTTGCTGGGCCTGTATTCTTTTTTTAGGTTCACTAGGATTCTTAGTGGTTGGAACTTCCAGTTATCTTGGTAGGAATCTGATACCCGGATTTCCATCTCAGCAAATCATTTTTTTCCCACAAGGGATCGTGATGTCTTTCTATGGGATCGCGGGTCTATTCATTAGTTCCTATTTGTGGTCCACAATTTCGTGGAATGTAGGTAGTGGTTATGACCTATTCGATAGAAAAGAAGGAATAATGTGTATTTTTCGTTGGGGATTCCCCGGAATAAATCGCCGCATCTTCCTTCGCTTCTTTATGAAAGATATCCAATCAATCAGAATGGAGGTTAAAGAGGGTCTTTTTCCTCGTCGTATTCTTTATATGGAAATCAGAGGCCAAGGAACCATTCCCTTGACTCGTACTGATGAGAATTTGACTCCACGAGAAATTGAGCAAAAAGCTGCCGAATTGGCCTATTTCTTGCGCGTACCAATAGAAGTATTTTGAAATGAACTGAAGGAAGAAATGAAGATGAAATTCATTCGAATTTGCCCAATTGAGATATCCGGAAATCCCATTTACTTATAATTTACTTATTTTATATATATTTATTTTATATTTATATATTTTTTTTTCATCCGAAAGGGGATCCTTAATTCGATTTCTATATTCCTTCTAGATCTAAGGACTCCATTTTTACACAAAAGTGGGAATAGATCTATAGGTTCGATACCTTGTTATAGAACTCGCGCTTTAGAGAAATATCAGATAGAGTTGACAAATGAAACAGTTCATTAACAATTCACAGATAAAAAATGAAAAAAAAAAAGCATTGACTTCCCTCCCATATCTTGCATCTATAGTATTTTTGCCCTGGTGGGTCTCTCTCTCATTTCAAAAAAGTATGGAACCTTGGATTATTAATTGGTGGAATACTAGGCAATCCGAAACTTTTTTGAATAATATTCAGGAGAAAAATGTTTTAGAAAAATTCCTAGAATTAGAAGAACTATTCTTGTTGGACGAAATGATAAAAGAATACCCGGAGACACATATACAAAAGCTTCGTATAGGAATACACAAGGAAACAATACAATTGGTCAAAACGCACAATGAATATCATCTCCATATCATTTTGCATTTGTCGACAAATATAATCTGTTTCGCTATTCTAAGTAGTTATTTTATTCTGGGTAATGAAGAACTTGTCATTCTGAATTCTTGGATTCAGGAATTCTTCTATAATTTAAGTGACACAATAAAAGCTTTTTCGATTCTTTTAGTTACTGATTTATGGATCGGATTTCACTCGACCCATGGTTGGGAACTAATAATTGGTTCGATCTACAATGATTTTGGATTGGCTCATAACGAGCAAATTATATCTGGTCTTGTTTCTACTTTTCCGGTTATTCTAGATACAATTGTGAAATATTGGATCTTCCGTTTTTTAAATCGCGTATCTCCTTCGCTTGTAGTCATTTATCATTCAATGAATGAATGAAGAACTTATTTGATCCCCGGATATCAATCCAAAATTTTCTTCGCGTATAAAGAAAGCGTTTTCCATTTTTATTATTCTTTATACTTCTACCTCTTCAAGGTATTCGTTCTATTTCAGTAGAATTATTTCAGTACAACGGCAGACTCGTGGATAGGGAACTATACTAGCTACCTATCTAATTTATTGTAGAAATTCCGGGATCAATGATTGGATCATGCAAAATAGAAATACTTTTTCTTGGGTAAAGGAACAGATTACTCGATTTATTTCTGTATCGATCATGATATATGTAATAACTCGAACATCTATTTCAAATGCGTATCCCATTTTTGCGCAGAAAGGTTATGAAAATCCACGAGAAGCAACTGGGCGAATTGTATGCGCCAATTGCCATTTAGCTAATAAGCCTGTGGATATTGAAGTTCCGCAAGCTATACTTCCTGATACTGTATTTGAAGCGGTTGTTCGAATTCCTTATGATATGCAACTGAAACAAGTTCTTGCTAATGGTAAAAAGGGAGCTTTGAACGTGGGAGCTGTTCTTATTTTACCCGAGGGATTCGAATTAGCCCCCCCCGATCGTATTTCCCCCGAGGTGAAAGAAAAGATAGGAAATCTGTCTTTTCAGAGTTATCGTCCCAATAAAAGAAATATTCTTGTGATAGGTCCTGTTCCAGGTCAGAAATATAGTGAAATCGTCTTTCCCATTCTTTCCCCCGACCCTGCTACGAAGAAAGACGTTCACTTCTTAAAATATCCCATATATGTAGGCGGTAACAGGGGAAGGGGTCAGATTTATCCTGATGGGAGCAAGAGTAACAATACAGTCTATAATGCTACATCCGCGGGTATAGTAAGCAGAATAGTACGTAAAGAAAAAGGAGGATATGAAATAACCATAGTTGATGCATCGGATGGACACCAAGTGGTTGATATTATACCCCCAGGACCAGAACTTCTTGTTTCAGAGGGTGAATCCATCAAGCTTGATCAACCATTAACAAGCAATCCTAATGTAGGGGGGTTTGGTCAGGGAGATGCAGAAATAGTGCTTCAAGATCCATTACGCGTCCAAGGCCTTTTGTTCTTCTTGGCATCCGTTATTTTGGCACAAATTTTTTTGGTTCTTAAAAAGAAACAGTTTGAAAGGGTTCAATTATACGAAATGAATTTCTAGATCCAGAGATTCCTCACTATCAAGTTGGTAAAAAGCACTGAATTCTTGTTGATCGATACAATTTGATATGTATTTCTGTAAACCCCCTTTGCTGCTTGCTTTGTTTATACTGTTTTGCGGGATGTAATGTATAGAATTCATTACTTGATATCCCATTCCATTTCTAGCACTAGGCACTAGACAATAGGCATACAAAAACAAAGGAAGAAGATACAAGGCAAGGACGGGATAAATGAAAGGAACAGATACTTCTAGGAGGGATTATAAGTTTTCCTAATCTTCTATTCGACACAAGAAAAAGTACTTTCTACTCTTTCTTGTGTCGTCTCTTGTATCGAAATAATAATGATTTTTCTCTTGTTCGTCAAAGATTACTATTTCTTCTTTTCCGGGTCTATCGGAATTCCTTTGTTTAGATTCCTAAGTAGTAGACAAACAAAAAGTGTTAGGGGGGAGTAATTCATTGAGCAAATGGGACTTCTTCTATTATTCAATATTCAATTAACTTCTAACTTTAACTTATTTCTTTTATAAATATAAAAGAAATTTGATAAAAGAAAAATTCTTCAAAACAAAAAAATTGACTTTGACTCTTTTGGTTGAAAGGCGGATTAGAGTCGATTTTTACGCATGCCCAAATCCTTATTTTTTATTTCATCCAATTTTTTATTTTATCTTTTTATTTTATCGAGTAAGGGTTTATTAGTTTAGTATAGAAATGATTTGCAGGATGTCTCATCCGTTTAAATCCATAGAATATTTGATTACCCAGAAAATCGATTGATTCCTTCTTTCTTGTTGCTTCGTATCGTAAGAGTTAATATTGTGGAGGGACGCCAGAGCCTATAAATCAATCAATAGAAATTCAATTCCATTGTTCAAAAACATCATAAGAAACAAAAGAATAGAGTGGTTTGAAAGATCATAGCAAAGGATCTCTTTTGTCATTTCTACGAATAGAATATTTTGATTATGTTGACTGTATAACTTTCCAATTTGTATGTTATGAAATAGATTAAAGTCTGGTCTCGCTCTAAGAGTAAGAAAAGAACTTAATGGTACCTTACCCTCCTTCTTTTATTTTTAAAGGGTAAGGTACCGCCGAGTTCTTACTTTTTAATGTCTACAATCCGGTTCATCTGATTACTACAGAGATGAACCCAATCCGGAATATGAACCGTAAAAGAAAATACCTATTAAACCGATCACAGGAATACCAGTTACAGTACCTATCAGCCAAAGAGGAATCCTTCCAGTAGTATCGGCCATTTCCCCCACTTCCTCCACATTTCATCAAGTGGTCATGCTATAGACAAAAACAGTCATGGATAATTATGAGTATGGTATCCTTCCGAGCGGGATAATAGAATTAATTCCTGCTACTCTCTTTCTTTCTCTCAATTGAAGAAATAATTGGAAAATAAAACAGCAAGTACAAAAATGAGTAATAAACCCCAGTATAGACTGGTACGATTCAATTCAACATTTTGCTCATTCGGGTTTGATTGTGTCATAGCTCTATAATTCGAATTAGGTTTATCGTTGGATGAACTGCATTGCTGATATGGACCCCAAAAAAGAAACGGTAGGTACAGCTAGTCCGTGAACAGCTAACCATCGCACTGTAAAAATTGGATAGGTTCGATCTATGGTCATTGGTGGCCTCCTAACTCCTAAAAGGATCTACTAAATTCATCGAGTTGTTCCAAAGAATCAAAACGGCCGGTTATTAATGGAATCCCCTGTCGACTCTCTGTGAAATACTCGTTTGGCCGAGGACTTCCAAATACATCGTAAGCTAAACCTGTACTGACGAATAACCAACCCGCAATGAATAGGGAAGGTATAGTAATGCTATGAATGACCCAGTATCGAATACTGGTAATAATATCAGCAAAAGAACGTTCTCCCGTGCTTCCAGACATGCTGAGCTCCAAAAATTCTTGTGCATTCAAAAAAGGGAATCGATTCCGTGAAAGATGGGATCAGTAAATGGAAAATAAACTACTGATATTTTATCTTTGTGAGATCGTCAATTTTGTACCAAAGGTGTATTTAGAGTATACCGAATCAGTATAGCTATCCTTCCTCTGGCGCAGCAACGCAGTCTCAATCAGTATCGAAATGAAATACTACAAAATTTCTTTCTTCTTTTTTGTTCCTTGTCTATGTATAATTGTATGTTATTCAATAGATCAATAGAAAATTCCTCAAATTTCTTATAAGGTTTCCATTATTTACTTCAGAATAGAAAGTAAAGATCTTGGGAAAGTGCGAATTGATGGGTTCTAATAATTACTGAAAGTGAAAGATAGTATTATCTTCACACAATTCAATTATATGTAAAATCTATAAACCCTTTTATGGTTCAAATTTTTTTTGTTCGAATACTTTCATTTATTTCAAGTAATTGATTGGTCATAGAAAAAATCTACTATAAAATGGATTATAGTAGTATAGTATTTGATGAAAGAAACAGAACATGGTTGGAAAAATCAATAGTCGCAATGCAACCATTGTTACATTAGATTCAAAACAAAGGTTCTTTCTTGACCGAACTACAAGATGGAACTCCTTGATATGGAAAAACAAGCTATAGAATAGAACTTAAAAGGATAAGGGAAGTTGCTCTTCTTCGAATCGAGTTGGCCCCGAAATTCAAAAAAAAAAAAGTGAAAATAAAGGTTTTTTTCTACCTATGTAATTTGTAGTTCTATTTTTTTTTTTTTAGTGCTATCTAAAATGACTGATGAATCAAGAACTTTCAATTAGAACTAAACTAATTCTGTCAATTGATTTTTTCGTCGTATCTGAAAAAAAATGGAAACTTAGGTAAGTGTTTTATCAACATATGTAGCAAAAGAAGATATCTAATTTAGCTCTTTCATGCCTACTATAACTAGTTATTTCGGTTTTCTATTGGCTGCTTCAACTATAACCCCAGCTTTATTGATTGGTTTGAACAAGATACGACTTATTTGAAATGAATTGAATGAACAAATTCATAAAAATAAATATTTCCCCTTCAGGTATTCTATTCTATGGTCCCTTCCCGTATCAATTGTTAACTCTTGGTCATTGAGATTCGCGGATTTTTCAGATTAATATTTAGGGATAGATCTTACCTTTCTTTTTATCTCCTCAAACAAATCGAAATGATTGAAGTTTTTCTATTTGGAATCGTCTTAGGTCTAATTCCTATTACTTTAGCAGGATTATTTGTAACTGCATATTTACAATACAGACGCGGCGATCAGTTGGACCTTTGATTGAATAACATTTTTTTTGATTGACCTCCTCTTTGCAGGAGGTCAAATTCAAGTTGCAATTCAACTGTATTTTATTAAGTTTTTTTATTATGATTCGAAATAACATAAAAGGAATCACGCTCTGTAGGATTTGAACCTACGACATCGGGTTTTGGAGACCCGCGTTCTACCGAACTGAACTAAGAGCGCTTTCTTATGACAGGAGATACGATTGTAAAGAAACAGATTTTTTTTGTTTTTGTACTCCAATGCGTCTTGCATACATTAGGGTGCAAAAATGAAAGATTATGTCAAATTTAATTTAATCGATCTCATTCAATTAATCTCTCGTTACCGCCCATAGGAGAAGTAATAGGTAGGGATGACAGGATTTGAACCCGTGACATTTTGTACCCAAAACAAACGCGCTACCAAGCTGCGCTACATCCCTTTTCAAAATTATTGTACAGTGTCATTGTACAAAATCCATGTCTTGTTTTCCACATTGTGATTTTCTCCTCTATCCATATACAATTTTCTTGTCATTTCTTCTTTTTGGTTTCATATAATAAAAG